CCACACCCACACCCACACCCACACCCACACCCACACCCACACCCACAACCACACCCACACCCACACCCACCCACACCCACACCCACACCCACACCCTCAATCATTTAAAAGAAATGTCAAGTTTTTGAAACTGATATCACAAAAAAAAAATAGTTGATTAGAAACTAAAAATAAATAAAGTCAATCATTGTTGTTGATATTTTCGTAGTTTTTTAGTTGTTTGTTTTGGAGTAACATTTTGTAATTTGAAAACCCAAGCTCAATCACTTGCAAGGGAATAGATTTTTATATTGGATACGTCAATAACAATACCACTAGTTGCACTAGCTGGACGCCATTTTAATGGACCAATATCCGAACCAAGAAGTGTCACAATTGTGCTTGATGAACTAACTGGTGCACTAAGTACGATTTCAGTTGTATTGTTTGGCCAATCAAGTAGAGATGCATATACATTTTGTTTATCTTTCGATGATGTATACCTATTATGCAAAAAAAGAAAAATGTTTTATTTTTGTTTTACTGAGAAACTTTACCAAACATATGGATTGGTTGTATCATTTTGATATTTCCATGGAATACTATTATAGATAGCTTCACCATTGACTTTCAACCATGAACCCATTTGACGAAGACGTTCTTCGAATATGGGTACCAGTTTTCCATATGATGTTGGTCCGACATTGATTAATACATTGCCTCCCGTACTGAATACAACAAAAAAAAGTGATATGGTTAACAAAGCTCATATATAAAAAGAGTAACAACCTGACAGTGGTAATAATTTCACTAAGAATTTCTTGTATAGTAAGATAGTCATTAATGCCCGATGTACGGATGAAACCCCATGAATTTTTGTCGATCTGTAAAACAAAGAAAGGTGACATTGAAATTACTGTGAAAATCATATGACATACAGTAAAACAATTTTCCCATTTATGTGTAACTAGATGTCCTGGATGATAACGATCACTACAAGTATAATAACCTCCATGATTGCAAGGTATTCCACTACCCCATCGATCATTGACAACCTTGAAAATAAAATATTCTGATTATCTATTTATTGGAACAAAAAGATACGCACAACTGTATCTTTTACTGGACTTTCATTGTAAAGCCAGGCTAGAAATTCTGTCGAGTTTCAATATGTATCTGGTGCTTCTACAAAATATATCAAATATATTTTAAAAGATACCTAGTGCACTTTAATTCTATACACCCCAATCAGCATCAGACCAGACCACTGATGGTTTATATGTTTCAACGATTTCTTTTAGTTCGGGTAATGTTTTCATCTACAGATAAAATTCATATGTTTTTATGTTTCTTAGAAATTTACATCATACATCAGGAAATAATCGTGTCTTAAAATCATTCTGTTTATCCTCAAGGTACAATGGATGAAACCATTCAGACATTGCATGATATAAACCAAAAGCGATATTAGTTCGACTACGAATTGCATTAGCAAGATCACCTAACAACAAAATAAAGAAAATAAAATAAATAACATAGAGAGTCATTTGAAATTTACCGAGTAAATCTCGTTTAGGACCAACATCCATCGCATTCCAATTGAATGAATATTTCGAAGGCCACATTGTGAAACCTTCACAATGCTATTCGATATATAATATAACAAAGGAATATGTTTTTTAAAAAAAGTGAACCTTGCTCGTAAAAACAATATATCTAATCAAAACAAAAAAAGGTATAATAAGATAATCATGATAAAGAATTAACAGAATGGACGTACTTGAGGGTGGGTGTGGGTGTGGGTGTGGGTGTGGGTGTGGGTGTGGGTGTGGGTGTGGGTGTGGGTGTGGGTGTGGGGTGGGTGTGGGTGTGGGTGTGGGTGTGGGGTGGGTGTGGGTGTGGGTGTGAGCCTTAGATTCACCCACACCTACACACCCACACACCCACACACTCACACACGCATCCGCACCCACATCCCACCCACTACGAAACAAGAGCAAATAATGGGTGATGCAAAAGTTCTTGAAAAAATGTTTCTCCATTTTTCATTAGTTGAAACACATTTTCGAACAAACAAAAATATCTATTCAAAACCTACATTGAAAGACCTTTCTAACTGTATGTTCAAGAAAGTTCTATCATGCCTTATCTTTGAAGACCAAGCGTATCTTTGAACTAGATTACAGTGTCGTCTGTACACAAACAGGAGTGTGGAGTATGAGCGTTGGTGTGGCTTGTGCGGTATGGGTTTCTGTGTGTAAGAAAAGAATGCCTAGACGCACACCCACACCCACACTCTGACAGATCGTAATATTGTAACAATCATAGTGACTTGTTCGCACCGATAAACAATAGTGATTGCGTCCATTTTCTTCTCTTATTCATTTCTTAGTGTTTCTTTTGCTTCTGTTCTGATCAAAATATAAGGCATTTAATTCAAGCACATTGATGCAGTAAACGAAAAGAAAACATATGTTGTGGATGTGTCATTGTGTCCGTAGATGCTGGTAACGATGCACCAGTACCAGTTTCACACTGATAAATTGGCCAACTGTTAAGCTGGTGGTAATAACCACTATAGTACTACACGTCGTACTGGTTCCTCTCTAACTCTGAGTAATCACAGTCTTCATAATCCACTGTAATTTTAATAGAATTTTCATCAAAGGAATAGTGTGGATACGGATGTGGGTGTGGGCGTGGGGGAACAAATTACTGAACACCCATCCACACGCCCACACCCACTCACACCCACCAACACCTATACACACACCCACATGCACACCTGCACCCCACATAACACCCACACCCTACACCCATACCTACATCCACCCTTATGACAAAGATGTCGAGAGGTGCAATGAACATTTCTAGATTAAAGTGAAAACGCAATGTTCGGTTTAACTGATCAGTGATTTGTTAAGTTCCACATTAATTCAACCGTCGAACGTTCCGAAAACTAGATCCAGGTGGACGAAAATGCATGCCAGCGAATCGAGCGCTGAAAGGCCAGTCATCATCAGGTCTGGAAGGCTCGCGATCTCGAAACCTCTCAGCTGTAGCTGTTCTTCCGCCACATAACGGTCCCTCACGCGGCGATTCTATATGTGCACGAGCATGGTGAGAACCAATTGTTACGAACTCTTTCCAAGTGGGTGATGATGTTTGAACCTCTTGCGGCTTGACATTTCTTATATTTGAAACCATTTTCTCAGGTTGCAAATTCAAGGATGATGACTGCTCGGTTCCCGTAGGCTTTTGGACTTTATCAGATGATCGAATTGTATTAATAGTTTTCATCATCTCGTTAGTATCGTATGCTTGTACATCGAAATCGAAAGACTTTTTAGGTTTGTCGCTTGAGAATTGTCGACGGATAGTTGATGGATCATTAAAAATATACTTGATTCTTCTGTTGTGAAAAGGCCATGGCAGAGGCTTTGATTGCGACTTATCCAGAACTATATATATCATGTCGATTTCAAACATTCTAAGCATTTGTCTAATAATTTCACGACTAGTTGCAAAGTTATGTGACAGAATTAGAATGATAGGTGTTCTCGATGCAAATGATGAACGAATGTACTCGATGCAGTCAATTGGAGTATTGAAAAAATTTATTTTATTCAAAAACTTGCTTGTAAATATTGGTACGGCTGCATTCCAGTAAGCACCCAGCCATACGACGAAAGAATTATTCAAAACATCTAGTGGAAGAAAAGTTTCTTCTGGGTGTTCGCTAGTGTGACAGGATTGTGATTGAGGCATGAAGAACAATCCCATTTTACTCTGATCTCGTTTAGTATCGGTGCTAGACCTTGGTCGTTCTATTGTTGTCATAATCTTGATTTTCAAGACGATGAAGATGACTTGTGATAAATAATCTAAACATTTAAGAAATTTATTCGAATCCATTCGAACAACTATTCTATTTATTTGCTCATTCAGGCTTCTTTTTCACTTTTATATCAGTTAACATGCTGAGAAACGCAAAGTATTTAATATTAAACGAACTGTAAACAAGAAGTCTCTCAAAAAAAACTGACGAGGAAAGGTTCCCAAGTGATTAAAAGCTTTTGAGCTCATATTTTGCCCAGTGGTAAAGGATCTATAGACTAGAACAACCCCCCAAAGGATTTGCGCTGATATTAAGATTTGACTGAGCTACTCAAGTTTTAGTAAATTCTCTCTATAAGAATCCTACATGACCCTCCACTTTTCAGTGAGATAAAATTTTCAAATTTTGCGCTGAAACTTTATCCAAATAAAGGTCTCAGTTAGACTAGTTTGTGCACAAAGTTTGAAAAATTTTTGATCGAGTCTCTTCAAACTATGAATCTTTCAAAACTTCGGCGCTTTTCCATCGATACTGTATAAAACATGCATGTTTTGAAGAATTCATAGTTCGGAGAGACTTGATCGAAATTTTCGAAACTTCGTGCACAAACTAGTCTAGCTAAGGCCTTTATTTGGACAAAGTTTCAGGCCAAAATTGGAAAACATTATCTCATTGAAAAGTGGAGGGTCATGCAGGATCCTTATGGGGAGAATTCTCTAAAACTTGAGTAGCTCGGTCAAATCTTAATCTCAGCGCGAATTCTTTTGGGATTGTTCTAGTCTATAGAGCCCCTACCACTGGGCGAAATACGGGTTCAAAAGCTTTTAACCACCTGGGGATTCTTCCTCGTAAGTTAAAATACCTGAATCAACCGCTCATACAAAACTGAGCAATTCACTAATGCAACACATTCGAAGCAATCTTTGTCGCAAAATAACAGCGTGCAACTGTAATGGCTTTTTCTTTTACATGTTTTTCTTCTTCGTGCAACATCGAATCCCGACGTTATTTTTATTGTTTCTCTGATCATAAAAACAATCCTTTACTGCTTTTATTGTTCCATCAAACACTTTACATACTACCTCTTGAGTTGTAGTTTACTTCTCTGATCTTTTCCAACTTATCGTCGTCTTTGATTCTCAAAGACATTTACAAGAGAAGATGAACCATTTTTGAAGACGTAGCGCTAAATGCTCGATTAATCGTGGATTAATAGTGAGATCACCGAAATTTAGGACAAGGATGCTTTCTTCGAGAAAAACATCTGAATTGCAATAAGAAACCGTCACAGGGCATTTTTTTTCCTGTTGTGGCTTGCTTGCCAGCTACTGAGTGCTATTGTGGAGCACAGAGAAAATAGATTGTCTTGAGCGGATGAATATACAGTGGCTGTCAGTCTCAGTGCTGGCGATGTTTGGTGTGGTGTGAATGTGTAGTGCGGGTGAGAGTGTGGGTGTGGGTGTTGTTGGAGGTTCGTATGTTACTATTGCCTCAACCACATCTACATCCACAGGCGCAACTATATCCACATCTACGATATCACTGACGGCACCCACCCAATGTGAAAGAAAAAAGTGGTACAACTAACCATCTGAAATACGGACAGTATCATGAGCTGGAGACGAGTGGAAATATAAAATATGGAATCGTTTGATAGGTGTAAGAAAGTGCACAACCAAATCGCTAAATAATATGCGTTGAAATACGAACCGGCTCAAATGATGCTTCTTCTGGACTTCGGTTTCATATAATCTCAATCGTTACTAATATTAGAATGATACTAGTGCTGTATATATACCTATTCATTAGTCTTTAAATACTTAGCCTTCTTTTCGTATTATCCTAATAAATAACTTACCACAGTTCAATAACTTCAACTGAACTGTAGTGGAATTTTCAGCGATACGTTGTAGTCAATTTTGGCTATGTTGTGTTTATAACACCGTATGGTTTTCTGTCGAATGATTCGTTTGTTGCTTCTTGAAGATAGTGACAATTTTCTATTCTTATATATCTCTTTTTTCTCTTGTTGTTTCAATATCTTTCAACTACGAACTCCGTTGATAACGGGTGTATTTATCAAAAGTAACAATCAAACTGATAAGCACATGATGAGTTTATCCTACTAGGAAGAAAATTCATAGTCGTAATTGTAACTTCGTTTCGAATGGAGTGGGTGTGGATGTGAATGTGGTTGGGTGTGGATGTGGATGTGGGTGTGGATGTGAACGTGGTTGGGTGTGGATGTGGGTGTAGGTGTGGGTGTGCGCACGGGTATGGTAGGGTGTGGGTGTGAGTGTGTGGGTGTGGGTACGGGAATAGATGTGAATATCCATGAACAGATGACCCACACTAACACCCACTCTACATCCACATCCACACCCACACCCACACCCACACCCACACCCACACCCACACCCTTTCTTCACTTTAGGTATTCTGAGAACGAGTGTAGATGTCGTTTTGTGGCCTTAGGTTTGACTTTTGTTGTAGCTTTGTTCTCCGTACTCCTACACCCAATCATACCCACACCCTGAACTATATAAATTCTGAAGGTTTCAAGCTATTTGGAAATGATCTTGTTTAAAATGATACTTTTCTCATGTCAGTACTCACATGAAATTGATAAGAATAAGAGAAAAATAAAGAACTGAAGGCAATACTCACATAGAGGTCGTGTTTGATGACTCACTATGTGAATCATTTTGATGAACTATTGCAGTCGTTGCTCGCGTCGAATTGTTATTCATAGCTGTCAGTTCGCTGTCGTCCTGAATATGATCCATT